CCCCCCCAAAGTGAATTCTCTATTAGATTTATGACTCCCTGACCCAATTAGGTTTTCTGGAATTTTTGAAAGCAGCTATGCATCCCCTTATAAAAGAATATATCTACCTGGATCTAAGACACACTGTACATGAATATACATAACTACGATACAGCACTGCTGTTCTTTTAACAGCTCCATATACAGTTTCAGTTCATCAGTACCTCAAAACTGTTTTAGGAGAAGGTTATTATATAATGTCATGGTAAAGAGAAAGAAAATTAAGTCTCACAAAAAATACTCCTTTAGAACAAATTCAGGTAAGTTTTATTAAAAATAAATAAAATGAATAAAGGCATGATTTCAACTACAGGGCTGTCTACAGATATCAACAACAAAAAATTAAAACTTAAATGTGGCCAGCACCAGACTGCCACCAAAAAAAAAAAAATTTAAGCTATATGGCTGTATGTTAGTTGGTACTGTGTAAGTTTTCTACACAGGTTACCATAGACTAATTTTCAAGTCCATATCAGAAGGAATATTTGTTTAAAAAAAAAACAAAAAAAAACACCATGATTTAACAGAAAATGTGACATGTTCCTTAGGTACAACTTTAGAAACCGTAGTTACCCCAGGATTTTTAGATCACTACCACAGTTTGACCATGGCTTCCTAAGATAGAGAAATGGGACAGAATGTATTAAGCTATTGGCAACCTGGGCCTTGTGGCTCAAACTGCACACTAAACGTGGGATGGAGTAAGGCTGATGACCAGAGGTAACCACCTCTAAGGGAAATGAACTGGAAAAGTTGATGATTCACCTTGTAAGGACCTAACATCAAGTTCCACTTCAGAGTAGTCACAGCTTTCCCTATGGAAGGCCCAATGGCAAGTTCATATTGCAACATTACAGTTTCTCCTTTGCTCCGTTTTTCAAAAGCATTAAGTAACCATTCTCCACAACATTATCAGATGACCTTTTTACCTGGTCCCAGTGATTAGGCTTTACGCAGAGAACTCTGAGAAAGTACACTGGCTTCACCTTTGGTTTCTATGAAAAGGACATTGTTAGGAGAGAGAATCAAGTCACCTTGATCACCTGTTACACAACCAAGCCAGTGAGAGTGGTGAGCGAGATCGCTCTCGCTGCGACACACTTGCTTCATAACCACTTAGGTCACTTCGAGTGTTTTTGTGAAGGCAGCACAACCAGAATGCCCACAATACGCTTGTATTTCCCAGAAGAGCCTCTAACCCCAAACCTAGGAACTTACGTTTCCTCCAATTAGGAAGAAATACAAATTCCTACTCCCCACCCCACTGCTGACAGGATGTTTCTCATCTATCCAGAGCCTGGTTCCTAGGCATGTCCAGTAGTCTCCTGGCCTGAGGCGCTGCAGGGCGGTGCAGGGCTGCCATCTGGGGGGACTGCGAGTTTCCATTTCTCACGGGACAGTTTGAAACGAGGTCAATTCTAACACAGCAAGCTCCAGGCTCCTATGATAACCAGCTATCCCCAGTCAGAACGCCGTTGCTCGTCACCACACTACAGCCTCCCGCTGCAGAGCCTGCTTAGTAGGAGGGTGTCCACTAACCAGTTTGCCTACTCTTTTTAAATACCTACCACCAAATTCTTCAGCGAGTCATAGTTCGCCTTTCTCCATCATTTCAAATGCTTCTATATCTTCATTCCAGTCTGCTAATATGGAGTCTATGGGCTGGGCCTTTTTACCCCAGCTGACGTTGGGACTGGAATCTTCCTCAGTTTCTGATTGTTCTTGAACTTGGTTATCTAAATCTGTACATTCACCATCAAGGCCTGCGGGCCCCTGGTTTTCTGTGGGATCAGAATTCTGTTCAGAAGGAGAAGCTCCTGCAGCATTGTCCGTAGCTGCTGGAGATAATGGTTCTGGGTGAGAGTTTGGAGAGTTCTCTTCAGGAGACTCTCCATCCACCAAATCCACCTCCTGAGAACCTGGGGCGAGCTGCTCGGCACTCTGGTACTGAGAATCATTTTCAGAGAATGGCTGTTCTTCATTTTCCATTTCAGGATCTGTATATGAAACAAACAAGCTTCATGAAACTTTCCCCTAAAAAAATGCATCACACTTTCAAAAGCATATAGGTTTTTACAATCAAATGAAGAAATAAAACTTAAAGAAAACCATGTTAATGCAGATCAGTGAACATTAACACTAAAGAGTAAAAGACTGCCTTATAATAATGCTCCCACATTTTTCTGTACACTAATTTTGCAAAATGGGACATTAGAAAATATATGTTCTTTCAAACTGCCTTAAATGGATATGAGTAAATGCCAAGAAATACACTAAACAGTAATACTATTAAAGTGCATATAAATCTTTACTGTATGTCAAAAGTTTACTAAATATCTGAAGTCAGAGAAGCTTGCACATGAGAACATATTAAATAGAATTTTAAACAGCACTTATCATTGTTATGTTTTAAGATAATAAATAGTCCTTTGGAAAGTGAAACTCCCACTCAGTAAGCCATGAAAATGCAGATATATAAAATTTTGGATGATTTAAGGGCATTAATGTGATTGGTTAAGTAAAATATTTTCATAAAGACAACTGAGATTATTTATAAAACTTCTATTTCATTACTGTCGGTCTATGAATTGTAAGCTATGGTCATCCGAAAATCCACTGGAAGGCTGACCAGTAAGTTAAATCCTCTCATGATGAATATATAATGAAGCCACTAGAGGCATTTTATTTAGGATCCTGACAAGAAAGTGTTTAAATGGCGTCCACGGCCACTTGCTGTCTCCCTCACAGTCTCTGTGGTGGGTGGGTCAGCAAACACCCCCCGAGTGTCCACTGTGGAGCAGGCACCGTGCAAGGTGCTAAGGATAGAACAGGCAAAACAAACACCAGATCTGCCTCCATGGATCTTACAGCCCAGGTGGGGAGAATGGAATTTACACAAAATAAATGGAGAACTCTGACAAAGTGTTCTGGGGTTAGAAAAGAATGAGATTTGAGGGTTTCCTTCAGAAAGTGACACCTGAGCTGAGGTTTATAAAGTGGAATTAGTCAAAGAAGGGACAGGAGATGGGCCTATTCAAAAAATGAAAGGAAATACAGGCAGGCAGGCAGGAACAGGTGGTGGCACATACGCAGCAACTGATTAGGAAGAACCACCCCACCAGGGAAGCTTAGGCTCTCCAGTATGTGTGCTGGGGGGAGGGGGCGCCCACACACCCTCTCTTCTGAGCAGCAACAAAGGTGCACTTTAAAAAGGCAATCGGGAATACCAGGGGACAGGGGGCCAAGAAGAGGAAGCCGGGAGCTGGTGCTCAGCGCTCACTGATCCCAGGCTCCCTCAATCCAAGGAGAGCAACACCTAAAAACCTTCCCGCTTCTCTCTGGGCTACATTCATCTAGTACAGAAGGAGAGGAAGAGGTGCAGCGCTACTCATCTAGAAATCAAGACTGCTTAGGCAAAAATAATTACCCTGGGAGTTACCAACTATACAACATTATTTTAGAAATCTAACTACACAACAGGATAACAGAACAGTGAGTGTAAATATAGAAAAAGGAATTGTCATTATTTTCAGATTGTGTTGTATACGTAAACTCAAAGCAACTCAACTTTTAAAAACACTTAACATAAAAGAATCTGATAAAGAGGGTAAAAATAAAATTAAATAGGCATATATCAATGACCCCTCTATAGTAGCAATACTGGTTAGAAATAAAATTAAGTGCTCTTTTCGTAATAAAAATAAAAGCTATAAAACATAGAATTGAATTTATTATGAAAGATATATGACCCATATTCCTTACACTGTAAAATCTTAATGAAAATATAAAACAAGATATGATTACATTTACAAGTAAGTTGTTTTTTTTTTAAATATATCTTTATTGATTTCAGAGAGAGGACAGGAGAGGGAGAGAGAGATAGAAACATCAATGATGAGAGAGTCATTGATCGAGCCCACAACCTGGGCATGTGCCCTGACCAGGAATCGAACCCTGATCCCCTGGATCCTAGGTCGATGCTCAACCGCTGAGCCACACCCGGCGGGGCATTTACAAGTAAGTTTAAACTGTAAGTTCCTGGATTGGAAGTCCTAATATTTAACAAAATTTTCCCGTTTACATGTAAATTCAGAAACACAGAAGCAAAAAAAGAATGAAGAGAGTATCAAGATACAAAGAAAATAAATTTTAAAAAAATTTTAATCCTCACTCAAGGATATGTTTTGGTTTTTTAGAGACAGAGGGAAGGTGGGGAGGGGGGGGCGAAACACCAATCGGTTGCCTCTCATACACGCCCCGACCAGAGATCAAACCCACAGCCTAGATATGTGCCCTGACTAGGAATGGAACCTGCGACCTTTCAGTGTACCGGCCGATGCTCCAACCAACTGGCCCCCAGCAGCAGGAAAATTATTAAGTCTGAATAATGAAAGGACAAGGGATCCTTGGGCAAAGACTCAGAGAATGGATGCTCTATAGTGGCTTACCCGTCTCCACCACCAGTTGACCGGAAGCAAGGAATACAAAGATGGGAAGCAGGTGGAGATGCCCAATGTAGTGTAAATGTCAAGGGAGAACGACACTGAAAGACGCCCTCCAGTTTCACCCGTGAGTGAGAACACTTCACAGAGAAGACGGCATTTATACTGGGTAGTCAGAATGGCAGCGTTCTCAAAGAGAAAAGGACTCGGGCCTGCGGGGATTGAGAAGGCACGTCCAGGAAGAGGGGAGTGACTTTGTGAATGTGACAATGCATAAGGAAACATGACAGGGCTGGAGAAAGGAGGGCAGGTACCTATCAATTCTGCTAACAAGAATGATCTAGGCGCACTTTCCTGGCAATGAGGCCATCAGATTTTCCTCCTCAGGCTCAAATCCTTCTCCCACAGCAACCGAACTTCAACAGGCCAACTTTAGAACATGTTTCCCCCAATTGACTTCAGTGGGGAAGATCCTGGGAAAAGTAGCTAATACTGCCAGGCCAAACCAGGGCAATGTTCCTTCCCCCACTTTCTCTGTCTGCCTCTTTATCAGACACAAATATAGGAGTAGCCCTAAAAACATCGGCCTGCAGCTGTCAAGGCACTGTGGGCCTACCTGCAAACTGCAAACATAATAAAATATTAAAATACTGATCTCTTTTTCCCTTGAGAAATAATACTGCAAAAAGAAAAATTGATCAATTGTAAACTGTTTCAACTTGGAGCTAAAGGTAAAAAATAAAAAGTGTCTTTTGTTCATGTGCCCAAGATTAGAATTAGTATTAAGCCCTTTATAAACTTCACATTTTAGAAAAATGGGACACATGAGAGACAGGGCATTAAAACTTCTGTGGATAACTTAACTTTTAGAAGTGTGACAGGTCTGACCTGAAAAAGGGTATGTACAGTTCTTATTTACAGGGGATGTGTTCCAAGACCCCAAGTGGATGCCTGAAACCACCAAGAGTGCCGAACCCTATATGTACTGTTTTTTTCCTATTTATACATACCTATAATAAAGTTTACTTTATAAATTAGGCACAGTAAGAGATTAACAACAATAACTAATAGAACAATGATAACAATACACTGTAATAAAAGTTATGTGAATGTGGTCTCTCGCTTTTAAAATATGATAACTGACATAGCTACTAAGTAACTAACGGGCGGGGAGTATATACAACGACAGTGTGGATATGCTGGGTGATCCACATTCAGAACAACAGGCAATTTAAAACTTAGAAGTTATTTATCTCTGAAATTTTCCACTTAACATTTCTGGACAGCGGTTGGCCACAGGGTAACTGAAACCATGGAAAGGGAAACTGCAGATCAGAGGGGACTACAGTAAGATATCTGAACATTCTTGCTAGCAGAGAGTACTACTGTAGACATTTCTATATTAATGGCTGGGCCTTAGCATCTGAGTTAAGGTAGGAGCGGGAGTGGTGGCTTGTTCTGGGGCTTCTACTTCTGTATTAATATGTGAGAAGAACTGCTCCATCAAAACTATGTGACTTTATAAGGGAACTACGTATTTGTGGAGTGAGATTTTTAGAAAGGGCAATCTGGAGGACATTTTATTGTTCAGACTTTAAGGATGCTATTATCTGGTATACTTACATAATCCCACCTAGTACTCTCGATGGAACAAGTATGTCCAGATACATAGCTGGGAGATAAAAAGTGGTGCCTTCTTTGTCTTATTCAGTGTTTCTCAAGTACAATTTACCTGGGAGGCTTGTTTAAAATTTCAGATTCTGATCCTCTGCCTTCAGAGAGTCTGATTCAATATTCTGTAGTAGGACTCAGGAATCTACACTTTTAACAAGTACATCAGCTGATTCTGATGCGGAAGAGAAACACGACACGTGCAGTAATGGCCCAGGACAAATGAATGATAACCACTACCAACATCAACTTCTTAGGATATCTTCCTAAGTGAATAAAGTAGGTGATTTAATAAAACTATTATCACTGATTTTTTATACTGATAAATATTAACAATTACACTGTAACTTGTTGCTGATTTAGTTAATATAGCTGTACAGTTCTTGAAAGAACTACACAAGTGGAATTTTTTAAGACTTTTGGTCAAAAGATCACTCTATTACAGAAACACAGTACAATAAATATACAGACTATCAAAACTGTAAAATATATACGATAGTTTAAATAAAGCCCCTCTATTGCAAGGTTCCTAAGGGAATACTGTTCAGATAATTTTTTTTTGGTAGGAGAATTTATATTTTTTATATCCTATCTCTGGTATGGGAAGCACGTGCTTTTACATAATCTCACAACCCTAACCCCATGCACCCTTACAAACATATGCGTTTTTAAAACAAGTCAATATTTTAAATAGTTTGTACTATATTCAAATAAAAAGTGATTAAAAGTAATACATTCAAAACAACAGTGTCTTTGTTAGTGCCCCTTGTGTGGACACAGACTAGTGAATTCTTATTATATGGGATATTAAATTTATAGGATTTATTATAACAGGATCAATAAAGATTTATTATGGGATAGTTGACTAGACATGAAATAATCTAATCACATCAAGCCAGATACTATCATGGTATCCACTGAAACAAAATTATATATATATGTACATGTGCATGTGCATATATATACATGCGCATATATACACATACACACATATATACATATATGTAATTTAAGGCTTATTAATGCAAGATACTTACTACTATTAATAATGTAGCTTGGAATCATTTTACCTTTTAATATTGCTGCTGAAATTCCAATGGTAGCACAAAATGAGGGAAAAAGCAAAGGCATTAAAGAGTTACATGGAATAATAATTTGCCTGTTTGATGTGCCTAAATGCATAAATGTAGGAAAGAAGATCTGAGTTTAGCAAAAAGCTTATAAAAAAACATAAGGTACATAGAAGGATTATAGAAGATCAGGAATCCTTTCTGTTCTGTTCTGCTTCCATCTATTATACCCTTCCATACAGACCCTACTCACTCCACTGCTCTTAAATGGTGGACATTTGAAAGAATCTCAAGGAAAAAGAAAGCAGTGAAAAAAGGCCAGACAAAAACACTGACTGGGCCAGCAGATTACAGCTCAGCTTCCACTTCCTTTTTCTTTTACCGCTCCGCTTGGAAATTGTAATGAATTAAATCAGTTCCCTACACATCTGTCAAGCAAATACCCAGGGCATTCAACAGCCCTACAGAAATTATACTACTTTATCCAATTAAGAGAGATGGGAGGAGTACAGCTCTCTCTATAGGTGTCTCTGGTGGGTAAGAAAAACTGCTGCCATGAGCATGATCACAACCTTTGTCTGACGGTTCGCTTTCCCTCATTTCGCCCCTATTCCTGGGAGTGAAAACTATAAAAGAATACCAAGAAGACCTTGCATTTATACAGTAATTTGAGTTTCAAAGATCTTTCAAATTACTCACAAACATTTTGGCCTAGAGAGGACGATATTCACATGAGCTAATAAGGCATGCTATCCTGTTCTTCAGACATCAGCCACTGGCAACCCTTGTAACCTATAAAGATCTCAGTGGAGAGAAGTCACGAGATTCCTATTGCCTTCATGACCATGGCCATTTCACTATAGGTAGTCTAGTGAAACCCAATTACTATTATATTACATACAACACTATTTTATACAATTTCCTTTTACTCCTTATAAAAGAAATGTAAGATGCAATATCAGTGAAATTGAGTGGTGAACACCTGTGGATGTTAAAATGACTCTCTGGATGTAATCTCCTGTATTATCATCACTGGGCAGAATCAAAGGAAAAATTATAAATTATATATTAAAATACAATTCTAAAAACATCCTAACTTGGCAAACAAAGCCAAATAAATGTTTTACTGCTCTTATTTCCAAATGGAAAATATATTTGAAATCATCTTCTAAAAATTGTACTTCTTTTACTAGTAATTCAAAAATAATTTTTTGACACTTTTGTTATAAAACTAGTAAAATTAATGCTAAACTGCATTAAAAAAGCAAATGCTTTACCCTTACCTCGATCTTTTGCTTTGTCAGAAAGGAGCACTTCCACCTCCTCATATTCCCGGATAGCATCCAATATGATACTTCCTTCTTTACTGAACAAGAACAGCATGGGGATCTTGATGTCATCTGTGTCCTTCCCATCACCTGCCATCTGGAACAGAGGGGCAGTATCACTGCTGCTCCCCTCATTGTCATCTAGCCAGAAAAGGAACACACCAAACACAAAAACAGTCATCCGTTAAAAAGGTCTATCTACCGCTTGTTACTGTTTTGTACCTGTTGGCAGCATTAATTTTATGCACCAGTCACATGCACTGCTAATCTCACATGCCGGTCTGCCTGCAGAACCTGCCTGTCCCTTCTCAGAGGGCTTGCTCTGGCAGCCCTGCTAAGTGGAGAATCCCATGTAGGACCCACTGCCTTAGCAATAACTGACTGGACAACGGACGGCTACTGGACCCTCAGTCTCTCCGGGGGACCTGGAAGTGGCACGCAGAAAGACTCAGTTAGCAGTGGAAATGCCATTGCTGAATGCCATTGCAATGCTATGGCCATTTGGGAACTGATGAGCAAAGAGGAAGCAGGCTGGTGAAAAGCTGGAGAATGAAGCAGAACTGCAAAGAGATGCAGAATTCTGCTCTTTGTGTCTCCAGGAGGACCCAGAGATAGAGACAGAGATGTCAGAAACACGAGATATCGTGGTTCCTGATGATTTTCAGCTCCCACTTCCACTTCCTTAGAATATTCAGTTGTATTTCTTACTCTTGGGTTCAATGAAAATACATAATCCATTTCCATATAACAAACAAACCCCTTTACTTAAGCCAGCTTAAATAAACCATCTTACAGCCAAATGATTTCTAAAAAGATAATTTGTACTTCTAGTACTTGCAATAAAAAAACAACTAAGTCCTAATTTGCTCATTTATATACAATTAAAACCAGTAAAAACCAAAGAAAATGTCTCATCAGAAACAAAAAAATACTTAGGAGAAAGAAGTTACAACACAAGAAATTTTCCTCAAAAAATTGAGTTTTCTGAGAACAAGGACCACGGCCTCTTAATCCATTTACCCACAGAACTCAGCAGAGGGTCCTGTGACAGATAGAAAACGTGTGACTTGACAAACCTTGCAGAGGAGAGAACACGTGGGAATTAGAGACTTCATCACAAAATAGGGAAAGAAACTCTACTATACTCTGCATATGTTCCAGACTTTATTTTTAACATTTTATATTTTAGTCTCAGTAAGAGATGTTCAAAATGATAGTGATGCCAAGCTATTAAATTCTTCAATAAAAAGAATCTGTGTGGAAAATGGCCAAGGTTAAAAAGATGATTTAAGTCAGGCAACCTTTCATGTAATTGGTCAGACAGTGAACATCTTAGACTTTTCAGTTCTCTGTTGCAACCACTCACTCCAGCTCTGCAGCTTGAAAGCAGTCGCAGATAACACGTAAACATACTGGCCTGGTGTGTGCCGATAACCCTTCTTTACAGAAACAGGCAGGGAGCTGGAGTGGGCCTGCAGGCTACAGTTTGCCACCCACTGATTTAAGTTATTAAGCAGAATCCTCTTAATACTTACTTAACTAATGGGATTTATGCATTCATTAAATCAACACTGGAGTGCCCATATGGGATAAGCAAAGGGAATAGTAAATACTTTTTCACTGAAATAAATCCTAACATTTTAAGTGTCATACTTTTTATTAACCTTAAATTCAAAAAGGAAATCTATCTTAATTAGAAAGAAAAAATTCAAAATGGATTTCCCCTGTGAGGGAAGGAAGCTATGCAAACAAACTAGGTGTGCAGTTAGGATGTGACCTCAGGTCTCTTAGCTCTTTCTAAATGTAAACTCCTCCCTACTTAAAGCATAGAAAAATTTATATTCCCTGGTAGTCATGGCTTGCTTGTCATGATACAAATGATTTTCTATGAAAAATTAAAAAAACATTTTATATATATTATCGTCAAACCTCATAACCACCTAAAAGGTATTGACTAGCATTTTCGCTGGAGCTAATGAAATATTCTATTGAATAAGCAGATAAACTAAAGCTGGGCCAACGTTACACCAGGATTTTGTGGCAGAGCCAGGAAGTTGGCCCCCCTGTGTCTGATTCCAAAGCCTGAATCTTTGAGGTGGAATTGGTATTTTCAATGGCTCGCACTGGAGGTGGCAGGATGTAAGTCTTGCCCTTAGAGGTCTCTGGCTCTTGTGGGCACATTTTCTTATTCATGTGTTAGGTGTTTTTACCACTCACCTCTACCGACCTTCACACCTGTCCCTAAGTACTTTTACTGGCATTAATATACTGAAACCCAAATCTAGGCTTTCAAAAAAGATATGAGACCCACAGAAATTCGTTATGCTACACAGTTAAATAAAAATACGACAAACTTTTTGATACAATTTTGGAAAACGAAAGGAAAAAAATCCTAAATTACCTCCTTTTCATCTACAGAAATGATGCTGATGTGGAGGAAGACTTACCAATAACAATGCCGCCAATGGCCCCAGCATTCTGGATGTTGCGTGCCTTTTCTGCAAACATGCACTGTCCTCTTTGTATCAAAGCAATTTTTCCCATTACTGCCTCGGGGTTCGTAAGCTCTGAACAACCATTGTATGGTTTACTGCTTGCAACAAATCCTCGTGTCTGTCAGAAATAAAGGTGACTTCAATATTCTTTTATCTTCTCAAATCGCTATCTAGTCAATAAATAAAATTCGGTATCTAGAGCTTTAGGTAGATCTCATTTCTTTACTAATGAGAACATATTCAACATATATACTTAGCATAAATTTTGTTTCGAACATTTTGCACATCATAGTATGCAACCAAAATTTCTATTGTGCTTTACAGTTTATAAAGCATTTTTACGTAAATTACTAAACCTGATCTTTACAACAGACTTGAATGAAGTAATACAGATAGTAATTCAGTTTACATATAAGGAAACAGACTCACGTTACATAATTTGCTCTAAGATACAACATTAGTAAGTAGTAAAGTTGGAGCCTGTAGGAGATTCAGGACACACCCATACCCACACAACAGCTGGGAACCACTATAAAACCATCATTGGTAACCAGAAACTTTTTTGAAAGAGGAAAAAACCAGATTTACTCTACATGAATCTGCAAGTTCTTCCTGGAAAAACTAAATCCACCAGAAAACTGATTTGAAAGACGTTAGTGTAAAGATGTTTTAATATTCCTCTAGAATAGCGATTTTCAACCTTTTTCAATGGCACACATAAACTAATTACTAAAATTCCATGGCATGTCAAAAAATATATATTTTTGCCAATTTGACCAAAAAATAGGTATAATTTTGATTCATTCACGCTAGATAGCTATCTTTGTGTTGGCTGATGTCATTTTTCAATTTGACAATCTAAGGGAAAAGAGGTCAGTGCCCCTGATTAGTCAGGTACTGCATGTTTTAAAAATTCTTGCATTCACTACACCAGAATGTAAGCTTGATGAGGGACGGCATAAATCTTCACCGGTTTTGTAAACATGACAGGTAACAAATAACTAAAATAGTGCCTAGATATAATAGGGACTCAATAAAGAGTTGCTGAATGGATGAATCAATCTATAAACCTATACAGCTTTAAAATACATACTAGATCATACTAGATTTAGTCTAAATTAGGGGTAATAGAGTTCAAAAAGCATCTTCTTTAGATTAACAGGATAGTTGGGTTCTGGTTCCAGCTCTGCTAATTAGTTCGATGAACTTGCGACCTATTCGGCTGTATAGGTCTTCATTTCCTGTGTTAGAACTAAGAGGATAGAAGAGCCCAGCAGTCTTCCAGGTTTGCTCAGTGGAGCCTCAGCATCAGCTCTCCACAGCCACCTGAGCACCTCGGCATTAAGCATCCAAGTCAGATTTTTGCTCAAAGGAAGGATCCAGCAGTTGTTAAAAAATCTGAAAACCATTTTAGCTGAATTAAAGGTACTAAATTAGGGAACAGGCAGTATCTAAAGAATATTTTAAGTAAGATTCTATAAACATATTATATATATAAATTATGACTCAAAATTTACAAGATATACTTTTAACTTTATTTTATTCTGGGAAATTGAATATTTAGGTTTTTCTAAATAAATGAAAACTACTAAATTAGAAAAGAGACTAAGAAATTAGACAATACTTAAAAACTATTTTAACTCTATTTCAGCAAGCACATTGTAAGTGTACACACCTCTTTATGTTTAGACAGATCTAGCCCAAACTGAGCTGGCCCAGCGGTCAATACTACCCTGCCAAAAAATGGGTGTGAAACAATCTGTACCGCTCGTGGAGGTAGCTGCTGTTCTTTTTGTTGCTGACTTGACAATTCAATCATCTCCTGCATGAACCTCAGCCCATCTTCAGCGTCAACTGAACTAGCAGCCTAGGAAAGAAACAGATCATTGTTTTTTTTGAAATGTTCAACTTTAATACTATTACACTAGTCTTCTATTCTAAATTTTCTCCTTTCAGTTTTGGTCCCTACCAGATATTTATGGCCTGATTTGTACTAAAAAATATTACTTCTGGAAATACTTTCCAAGAATTACATCTGTAATTTTTACCAATATCTCCTTCACTGCTCTATAAACCACTTTTGATACAAGTTGAGAATTGGACTTCCACCCAATGATTAAATGCTCATTTTGCTTCTTTCTCCACTGTTTCCCCTTTCAAAAAATAAACCTCATACATGATCTATACTTCCTTTCTTTGAAATTACAAACCAACCAGCAGATTAAATTAAAACCATATTTATCAGGCAACTATTATATTTCAGCACTTGACTAGACACTGGGGAGAAAGTCTTTTACTGTCTAAACTTTTAAGAAGTTTGCATCTAGAGGAGAGTGACATATAAAATTAGCTATGATTAAATTCTTCAAGTGGGAAAGTAGACAAGGAAATGACCAATTCTGCCAATAAGAATCTGGAAAATATTTAGAGTGATATCTGAATTGAGTCTTTACAGAGGAAAAGCTGAAGAATGTGTCACTATAATAGAAAAAAGATAGATTCCCGATACTTTACAAGGAAAGGCAATGGGACTTGCTAGGAGTTAGAGGACAGAGGAAGAGAGGAGCTGAGAGACAGAGAAGTTCAAGCCTATCCTGAGGTCATGGTGACTTAGTTCTGGTGCCTTCTAGAGTGATGACAGGGTTTACTGAGCTGGAGATCTACGAGGAGGAGAGGTGGTCTGAGGCGGAGGTAGGAATAGAATTGGATTTGCATAGATTGAGGCTGAGATGCAGAAACATATGACAGGTCCATCAAAGGTGGGTTTAAGAGTAGAGTTAGGAATCAGGGTTACACATGTATAACTAAGAAATGAAGTGTGCAAAGATGACAGCTGAGCTTGTAGGAACAAATAAGACTGCTGAAAAAGAGAGAGAAAAGAGAATGACCCAGATTCTTTGGCAGCGCCTACACTGAATGGTTCTGCCAAGAAAGAGAGCTATAAAGGCATGAACAGAGAAGTGGAAAGAGGTACGCTACTAGAATTCCCTGGAAGTCAAGAAAAGGCTATGTTTTTAAAAGGGGGCAGTCAAATCCTGGCCCGTGAGGCTCAGGGGGTTGGGCGCCATCCAATGCACCAAAAGGTTGCCAGTTCAATTCCCAGTTAGGGCACATGCATGGGTAGTGGGTTCAATCCCCGGGGGCGGGGG